ATAGAGCAGAAGGTCATATTTCAGATTCACAATATGTTGCTGAGGTTTGGGGATTTTGAAACATAGACGAGTATCAAAAAAGATAAAATAGAAAATGCATTATTTGAAAATATTTTCTGTAGCAAGCAGTCAAGTTTTCAGAGTCAAAAGCTTCCAATTGGTATTCATGTAAATACTATTGCAAATCCATGGGACAACCTAATGGCCTTTTGGTAACTAAGAACAAAATGTTTAAAAGAGATATAATGTTTGTAAGAATGATTCTGGTAACCATTTCTATTCCAAAAATATCTTTACCATCTCACCTAACAGACCCCAGTCCCTACCCCTCACCCAAACTGCCTGGTTACAGCAGCAAGCAGACATTTTGAAGCAGGTCAGGCTCACATATTTTAAACACCTGCTCCTGTCCCTCTTTCTCAGTCCCTTACCCCTGTCTTTTATGTTATATAGATTCCAAAAAAAAGTGTTTTCTTCTAGTAGCAAAGAATATGTTCTACTCAATGAGTATTGATGAGGCACCAGGTATGTGATGCTGTGCTCTACTCTCTGGGGCAAAGAAAGATGACAAAAAGCCACTGTAAAAAAATTATTTGACCTTGGGTGGTGGGCACATAATGCAATGTACAGATCATGTATCATAGAAATCTACACTTGAAACCTATATGAGCTTATTAACCAATGTCACCCCAATAAATTTAATTTTAACAAAGAAAAGAAAAAGAAATGCCCCTCGTTGGTTAAAACGAAACAAAACTAAAAATCTATGGAGCCTTATGCTTTTTTTTTTTAATCCTCACCCAAGGACAGTTTTCCATTTATCATCAGACAGAGTGGGAAGGGGGGGGAAACATTGATGTGAGAGAGAAACATCGACTGGTTGCCTCCTGTATGACCCAACCAGGGCCGGGGTCTAACTGCAACCAAGGTACGTGGCCTCAACTGGAATCGAACCTGCGACTCATTGGTCCGCAGGCTGTCGCTCTAACTGCTGAGCCAAACCGGCCAGGGCTAGAGCCCTATACGTACTTTTCAGTGTGTGAAATTAATAGGAAATGGAAATCTCCCATTAGATTAGGACAACTGCCCAAGCAAAGTTGGGTGTGTGGTTCCTGAAATTGTAACAAGACCCTCACTAAGCACAGGGTGACTCCAAACATCCTCGGTCCGAGCCCTGCTGTCTAGAACAACTGCTTAGTCACGTGGCTGTCTTTCCCTCTCAAGTCTGGCTAGCCCAGAAGTTTGCCTTCCCACTTCCTGCAGAACACTCCCTAGATTTCCCAGCCCCTTTCTTGGACCCATAAAAGACAGGTACTGACCACTTAGTAAGAGAGAAAGGACAACATAAAAGTAACTCAAGACAAAATGTGGTAAGTCCACTTAATGTCAGTGATAAAGTGTTATGGGAGCATCAATTAGGGAGAACATTTTTTCCAGCTGTTAAAGGAAGGCTTCAAGAATTGAGAGGCATTTGAACTAGATCTTAAAGAATGAGGAAGGTTTCCATAGGCAGAAATGATAAATGAGAAAAAATAAACCACAGAGAGTTGGAAATATAAGGCATACCTCGTGGGTAGAAAAAAGTACACTAGGATTTTAGTCTATAAATAGCTAAGTTTGGATATACCAGAACTGTTTCTTATGGGCTTCTTAATCTTTTGCCTATTAACTTTTTATTTTAAACTTGAACAAAAGTTTGTCCACATCTTAATTATTGAATCCTTTTGCTTTTCAGGCCAGAGAAGGGGAAGTAGCCATTATTGATAAAGTCCTAGACAATCCAGACTTGACATCTAAAGAATTCCAACAGTGGAAGCAGATGTACCTCGATCTTTTCTTGGATATCTGTCAAAACACCACCTCAAATGATCCATTAAGTATTTCTTCTGAAGTAGATGTAACCACTTCCTCTCTAACACACACTCATTCATACATTGAAACGCACGTGTAAGTGTATTTTGCCTTCAGGCCATCTGGTACCTTCTGGTACTTTGAAACAAGTATATAAGGTAGTTTTTATATCAATGTGTGGAACACTTGACAAGCTATACTTCAGTGTTACCAAACTATATGAAACAAACCATATATGGTCATCATACCATTGTCTTTAATGAGCATTTGTATATTTTATATGCAATTAGTGCTCAGCTTATGTTTACCATGTGCAAAATCAACTGTCTTCAGTGATTTAAAATTAACTTTTGCAGACTATTCTGAAGACAGATGGTCTTCAAGTAGAAAAAAAAAAACATAAAATGGCAGTTTTCTAAGGTCATCTTTTCTCCCTTTAAGTTAATTTTATATAAACAAGACTTCAAAAGTAAATCACATTTTTTCAGGTTCAGATATCCTTATGGGTGGGAAAGAATTTAAACCTTTTTTATATTTATTAAAATGTTCTAAGAATTTTCTTAAACATTGCACAAAGTTTAATGTTGTAGTTTTATTTTTGTGAAATGTAGATGCGCCTACAAGAGTTAAGCAAAATAGAAGAGCATCAACATAAGAAAAGTTCAGGTATCTAATATCCGTCTTAATAGTCTATTAACTTGTGAAAGCTGGTTAATGGGAATACTATTCCAAATCTATGGGGACACTTAATGGTGTATCAGGGCAAAGCTTTGTAAGATGTTTTTGTAACTAAGACCAAAATTGAAGATAGAGCTGCTTTATTTTCTTGGTTTAAATCTTCCTTTATTTTTGTAGTGATGATATGCTGATTGTGTACAGAGGAATTTAAGAGTGGATTTTTTTAAACACATTTAACTCGCCCAGAAAGGCAGCTAACAGATTACATATATATAATTTCAGCCCAAACTCATGTTTTTAAGCTGCGATTCTTAAAAACTAGAAGGTATAAACTGAAATGAATCAACTTTCCAGTTAGTTTCCAATTTTCCCGCTAGTCCATTAATAAAACTTATGGAAGTATACTTCAGGCAGGGAAATAAAATATGTTTAATTACAGGCTGATGTGTGTTATAAACAATATTGAAAAATAAAAATGTACCTCTCTCCTGAAGAGCAAGAGGATGATGGTCATTCAGAGATCTTTTCCATTGAATTATATGAGAGAAACAAATTATTGGGGTTTTTCCTGGCTTCATGAATTGTTCTATAGAGTGGATGAAATCTATGAAAACGTCCTCTTCACATATTTCCACTTATGAGCATCTCGTTTTTGAAAGTGATCACAGCATGATAATGACTGTGCTGCTTTTTAGTGTCTGGCTGCATAACGTACAAGTCACAATTTGCTGTTTTTTTAGGAGGAGGAAGGGACCCTCCTTTACTATTCTATATCCTAAACTCTACTTCTAATCAGCTTTATACTGTTGCCTGTACAGCTCAGTGAATGTACTTTCATCTCTAAGAGTTCAGATATACGCCAGTGAATATTTTTGCTGTAGAGGAGAAAGTAAAAACTCCACAGCAGGAATCTTTTTCTTTGCTTTTGAAACCACCATTGAATCACTATCGTTTTGCAGACTTTGCACAACTGTACAGGAAAGTGGCCTTTCTACAGCACATTTTCAGTAATCCTATATTTAGTCAAAATGGATGAGAAATCACGTATTAATGTTTGTATGGAATTTTGAGTCCAGTGTAATATTTTTATCATTTAAAAAAAACCTGTTTGTAAAAACATTTATTTACTGCATGGATATTGATGCACATTAAATTTGTGGGATTTTGTATATGTAAACAAACAAACAGAAAACCTCTTGTCCTAAAATGAAGTGTGCTTGTTACAGGTATTTAGACTTATTGATGTTTACTAGATCAAACGTGTACATTCACTTAAAAATATCTGTACCTGATGGATGTGTCATGAATACAGTGGCCAGGTTGTGCCCTGTAAACAGCAAGCAGTTGATGGAAAGACTTAGCTGTGTTGCTACTAAGCAGCTTTTCCTTTTGTAAAGTCGGCTCTGTTGTTTTAAATGGTAAAAATTAAACTAATGAATTTTAAAAGACTTGTGGCTAGCCTAGCATGAAAGAGACCTTTTAACATTATATATCTGTATATTTTATTGCATTAGTTTCAAATCTAGGAGAGAGGCAGCATTGTAAACTGAAGTCAAATAAATTCAGCTCTTAATGAATCCTTATAAAGCACCTACTTTATTCAGAGTCCTCACCATATCTTTGTGATGCAATCACACAGCCACCATCCCTCCTTTCCCCCTTCTTTCCCCCTTCTTTCCCCCTCCCCAGTTACGAGCTCTAACTTTGCAACTCCATTGGTGGTACAAGCCAGAAGTGCCTGCTCAGCATACAAGCATCTTCTCTGAGCCCCTGTAAAGTCAAGCTGGTTTCCCATTTCCCTGACTCTAACTTGAACATTTCACCTACTCCTCTTTCCTTTCTCTGTGATTCTTTGGGGAAACTGGAGGGGAGGAGAGCACAAAAATAAGTTGTAGTTTTTAAAATATAACCTACAGCATGTCTGCAGAATGAACATTTAAAGAGGATGAAATAAATAAGATTTTGTTTCTGTTAGATGTTCCACTTAACCAAGGAACCTGATTATTATGGCTAAGGTTTGCTGAAATAAAACTTAAAAGCAATGAGCTGCCTCAAGTCAGGGCAAAAGCAGACAAGGGGTAAGTAAGAATGAAGAGCAGAAAAACTTAAGTCAGGTGATTTTTATAAAAAATAAAAAGCTCTTTCTTAGAGATGGTTTTCCCTCTCAGCTCCATATTTATATTAAACCAGAGCAGAAACATGGTTCTGGACCATGAAATCATATATCTCCTTATAATGATTTCATGTTATTTTATTAAGGCACTTTCCCTTTACTATTTATTCTGGGTCTTGTGTATAACTTCTTATGGAACATTGGGGGGGGGCATTTGTTTGGCACAAACGTAAACACTGTTTAGCACCTAGGGAAACACTTACCTATAAGAAGGAAAAAAAGGGTCACATTTTATTTTTGAAAGTCCATCCTTAGCCCAGCATGAGAATTTTTAGAAATCCCCTACTCACTGAAGCTGATTCACAGGTCCTTCTACTTGACCCCTCCTGTCTCCCCTTCTTAGCTTAAAGGGAAATGTTCCTCTCTGGCCAAACTTTTTTTTGCCTCCTTAACCTTCAGGAGCCGTCCCCAGAGTCCCATTCTTAGGAAAAGCCCACATGTTATTCTGAAAACCTGCTGAAGCACGATTTTCACCTCCATCCACCTGAGACTGCACTAACCCATTAAGCCCAACACTAAATCTGGAGCCTCTCTGGTCACTCCGGTCTCTCCCTCCCTCTCCTCGTCCGCACCCTCGGCCAGCTGCAGTACTGCGCACTGCAGGCCACTCCAGGCCCAGGGCAGCGTGCAGCCTATGTCCTCCCAGCAGTCCAGGTCGAGATCATAGCCCACCACGTTGCGGGTAGGCACCTGGCGCGAGTCCCGCCACTTGACACCACCCAGCAGCAGCGCTGTCTCCTCCACCACCGCCAGCCCATAGCAGAAGCGGTCATAGGGCAGTGGCCGCAGCCGAGTCCATTGGTCGGTGCCTGGGTCGTAACGCTCAATCTCAGAAAAAGGCTCATAGCGCCCCAGAAAAGCAAACACCGCACCGCGAAGTGCAGCCATGTGGTGCCCGAAGCGGGCCGTGCCCATAGGCGCCCTCTTGCTCCAGGCCCGCTCCCCGGGGCCCAGGGAGTACACGTCCCTGAGACTGCTCGAGCCGCCCTCGCCTCTCCCTGCCTTGCCCCCGGAGATGTATACCACACCGCGGTCCCCAACAGCCCCCGCGTGACCATGCAGAGCCCGTGGCAGCGCCCCAGCTGCTGTCCAGCGGTCCCAGCGCAAATCGTACATCTCCACCGTGGCCAGCGCTTCGCCGCCCGCTCCTAGGCCCCCGACGGCCAGCAGTCCCTCACCCACGGCGCCACACCAGAAGTGGGCCCGCGCTTCCCGCATAGCGGGTACCGCCGTCCAAGCGCGGAAGCGGGGGTCATAACGGTGCACTTGGGCCGTGACCACCCGCGGGCCGTCGGCTTGGGGAGAGGAGGCGCTGCCAGAAGGGCTCTCTCCACCGAGGACAAACAAGAAGTTCCCCGCTGTGCACACACTGTGCCCCAATAGCGGTGCAGGGAGCCGCGTGAGGCTGCGCCAGCGGTGGTTGTACACATCGAAGGCCACCACGTCCTGGGTGAGCTCCCACTCTTCGTCCTCCTCTTCTTCCTCCTCCAACTGCTCCTCTTCCTCCTCCTCCTCAGGCTCCACTGCGGCGCCCCTGCCCCTGGCTACCCCCTGGGGGACCGCGACCTCCTCAGCCACCATCTCCCGCCCCCTGCGCCCCCCGACCAATAAGATTCGGGTTTGCGGGCTCCGGACGCTGGTCTGCTCGTCCTGCAAGAGCGGCTGGCGAGAGGGTGCCATATGGTAGTTGAGGGCCTGGATGATGAGGCCTTTGACACAGGCGGGCAGCACAAGGCCGGAGCCCGAGTACACGGGCCGCAGCACGTCGGCGGGCACCAGGCCGAAACGGACGCGCTCCAGCAGCGTGGCGCAGTAGGCCAGGCGTTCAGCCTTGGGCTCCTGTCGCAGCCAGGCTAACGCCAGACCCAGCAGCCCAGCCTCTGGCACCCGCGCCACGTTGGGGGCACCCAGCACGGCCCTCAGCGACGCGGGGTTGAGCTCCAGCAGCCCCACGGGGCCCGCTCCCCGCGCCAAAAGCTCCCGCAGGTGTCGAACGATATAGCGCTCAGCCGCGTCCAGCGTGTGTGCCAGGCCGAAACGCGCCGCCACGTTGGCAGCGAAGCAGCAGTTCTCCGGAGCCAGCAGGCGCTCCAGGTAGCGGCCGCACAGCCCCAGGGCCTCAGTGACCTGTAGGTAGCTGGCGGCTTCCAGCGTGTCCTCCACGGTATCCATAGAGAGTGGCAGCCAGGCGGTGTAGATGAAATCCAGCAAGCGCTGAAGGCCAGCCGCCGACGGCACGTGCAGGTGGATCACGCGTGCCCGGGATTCCCGGGTGTGGCTCTTGAACAGAGCCCTGAAGTAGTCGCTGGAACACGCGAGGAGAGACCTGTGCGCGGGGAACTCGCTGCCCTCGGCCTCCAACGTCACGTCGCACAGGAAGCCCTCGGCGCGCAGGGCCTGGTAGCCGGTGAGCAGCGCGCCTCCATGAGCTTTGCAGTAAGACAGGAAGTAACTCATGATGCCCAGGGCTGGAAGCGGCCGGGCGGGGGCTGGGGCCGGTCAGCCCTGGCCGAAGGCATCCTGGGACCCCACGCGCGAGCCTCAGGGGCCCTAGAAGGGACCCAATTTTTCCTGCTCAGCTTAAAGCGGGGGGCTCTGTCATCCAGGTTCGCAGATCTGCCCGTGTACCTCTCAGAGCCAATTCGATCGGGGAACGGCTTCCAGAAGCCCTTAGTGATGGTGGGCACGGAATTTGGAGTCTTCCGGGAGGGTGCATGGTTTGGTTTCCGCGGCTTCCGAGGTTGCCAGCACGTTGCCCAGAGCCCTCACACAGGCCTAGTTTGGGGAGCCCACACCTGTGCGCCGCGCACCATCACTTATAAGGGCCAAGCTGCGAGTGGACCTACTCCCGGGGGTGCTGGATCTCCGACGGCCCAACAGCTCTCATGCGCAGATGTCAACCGGCTCGACGAGTCCCGGGAGTATGAAGCGAGGGCTCTGACCTCCTGAGGGTGGATGAGGAGGACAGGTTCTGCGGGCACCCGCCGAGGGCTGGGGACAACTGGCTACGGGGAGGGGAGGGGTGAGCTTGTTCCGCGCGGAGGATCAAATCAAAGCCTGGGGAATTAGGGCGGGGGGGTGCGGGTCAGTGTGGCCGGTGGGAGGCGTGATTGGGTGCTGCACATAACTGGCCGGTAGCTCACAACGACAGGAATAGCGCGCAGTCTCGGCCTCCCCTACGCGCCCCGCCCCCCGTCCCGCGCCCCAGCTGCTGGAAGCGAACCGAGGGCCGGATACTGGAAGAAGCGTCCGGACCATGGAACCTGACTCTAGTGACCCAGAGAGCTGCCGGTCACCAGGGGGTCCCGGGAACCCGGCTGGGGTTTGGGGAGAAGCGCTCGCTGGAGAGGCTCGAGTCTACAGGGCCCCTATGTCTAAAGGTGTCTGGGAAGGGTCGCCCTGCTGGGCTGGAGGAGTGTCGACCCGCGGGTGTCCTAGGAAAGAAGCCTACGGCTTCCGACTTTTTGCTTTAAAGAGGTCCTAATTAATCCGGTGGGAGTGAGGATTAAGCGGCAACTTCGCCTGCTGACACCCTAGAGGCCACTGGCGGGAACCACGTCCAGTCGAATCCGGGCTCCCAGCCAGCAGCACTAGGTAATACACCCCTCACCTGGACTAAACTTTCGAGATGCTGACCTACTCTATCCCTTTCTGGCTTGTCTCACATTCCGCATTCGGGAATTTGCTCCCATCCCGCTCCCCGATTCCAGCTTAGTTTTCCCTTCCCTTTCTTGGACCCTGCCCCGCCCTTCCCTTGGCACAGTGGACAAGGAAATTGTAGGCGACTTGAGTTTTCTACCTTTGAATGACCACTTGCTTTAAGAAAATAATTCATTCCAGTTTCTCTCTTTGATTTTCCAGGCTCTGATCTAATTAGCCTGCTGTATCTTCAATGTCGTAATGAGATACAATGGGCAGTACGGTTGCAAAGCTCCATAGAGACTGAAGTTTCATATGCCCCCCACCCCCACCATGAAGTTATTTTTATAAGACTCACTCCGCACAGAAGTGATGACTAAAACCACCTCAATCCTGAGACATTAGGAAAACAGTTCTCCCATCTCCTCCATTCTGCTCTTAAATAACTAAATGATCACTGTAAATTTTCTTGCTAATTTGAAGGCTATTCTGTGTTTTGCTGTCATCTAGAATGGACTTTTCTATTTTGTAATGCAACCCCTCTGGCAATCTGTTTTAAGTGAACCTTTGGAGAGTATCTGAAATAATTTGCATTTCTAACAGTTGGGCTTTTATTTTGTAGGGAAAAAAAGCCCAAGGAAGGATAAAATTCTATCATATTTTGCCTGATATGACATCAGTACTTATAAGGTCTCCAATTAGAAATCATTCTGAAAGTGCATAAAATACTAGTAAAATGATTTTGCTTTCTTGTCAGAGATAGAACTGCTTTGTGACTTAAATTAGTGAAATTATAAAATGCAGGCAGGGGCTCAGATTAAGGGCTTGCTTAAAACTCCCGAGGCTAAAAGTACACCAATTTGAATTCCTAATGTTAGAGCTACCGATGGGTTCATGGCTGACTTTTCTTTTTCAAGTACTAAAGTTCTTAGTTCAAAAATAAAATACCAGCCTTGTTTACTATGCACAAACAGATCTGTATGGTGAAATTAAATCGCCTTTACTCAACCTAATAGAATTTTGCTAGAAGGAATATTTGAGATCCTTTAGCCAAACCCTCTCCCTTTACTCTGCAATTTCTTATTTTTCTTTTTAAACAAATGTGGCAAGTGAGCCCCAGAAAAGAGTACGATTTGTCTGGATGACTTGGACATTGAATTATAAAGTCTGGACCGAAATCCGTGGCTCCCTCCCCACTACATTATGTGACCTCATGTATGATAAAAATAAAATAGTGCAACATGATTTACTTAAACCAAATTCTACAGTGATAAAGTTTAAATGCAGCTATATAAACAGCATATTTTTAATCAGATCATATCTGTCCATGACAATGCATTCAGGTTGAATCCAAAATTTCACATCTGAGAATAAAATGCTGTGGAAGACTTTGAACTCTTGATATCAACAATCCAATTTTACATACCAAGTATATATTCATCGCTGGCCCAACATCCACCCTTAACATGTTTTGCCAATGAGGATATGATGAACTGTGTTAACTGAAGACATTTTCATATTGGATGTGTTTATAAGGTCTTGTTTAGAAAATAGAATTGACAATTCATCCAAGAACATTCTTGTCCTTTGAAGAATGGTTATGGAAAGTATAAATACTTTAATTCCTGTACAATATTAAGTATGTTAACATTTTTAGTTGTGGTTTTTTTGTTTTGTTTTGTTTCTTTGGTTTTTTTTATTAATTTATTTTTGTTACAGATGTTTCTCCTTTTTTTCCCACTGATACCCTCATCCCCATCACTCCCACCCTGTCCCCAGCTTTGTTGTCCATGTCCATTGGTTGTGCATACATGCATATAAGTTCTGTGGTTTATCTCTCCCCCACCCCCTCACCATCTTCTGAGGGTTGTCAGTCTGTATCCTGCTTCCACATCTCTGGGTCTGCCCTGTGCCTCAGATTATTATGTTCATTGTATTCGACAAATGAGTTAGATAATGTGATATTTGTCTTTCTCTGCTTGGCTTGTTTCGCTTAGGATAATACTCTCCAGTTCCCTGCATGTCTTCTCAAAGGATAAGACATCTTTCTTTCTTACAGCTGCATAGTACTCCATTGTGTATAGGAACCACCACTTTTTTTTTTATTTTTCAGAAGAAAATGCCTGTTTTTTATTCGCTTTACTAAAAAAAAAAAAGAACTACTTGGCAGCTTAGAAACAATTTAGTATTAAGAGCATCAGGCAGATAAAATACACAGAATAATCATCACCTAAGTACCAAGTGCAATAGTCTTTATTCTTTTTTTAATTAATTAATTTATTTACTTCTGTTACAGATGTTTCCCCTTTCCCCCCCACTGATTCCACCCTCCCTATCCCTCCTCGCCTTGTCCCCAGCTTTGTTGTCCATGTCCATTGTTCATGCACACATGCATATAAGCTCTGTGGCTTATCTCTCGTCCACCACATTCTCTTCTAGGGATTGTTAGTCTGTACCCCACTTCCACGTCTCTGGGACTACACAATTCCTCGACTGTTATGTTCATTATATTCCACAAATAACTGAGATCATATGATACTTGCCTTTCTCTGTTTGGCTTGTTTTGCTTAGGATGATACTTTCCAGGTCCCTCCATGTTGTCTCAAAGGATAAGAGATCTTTCTTTCTTACAGCTGCATAGTACTCCATTGTGTATATGTACCACCACTTTTTTATCCATTTGTCTACTGATGGACATTTGGGCTGTTTCTAGATCTTAGCTATTGTAAATAGTGCTGTTACAAACATAAGGGGACATATATTCTTTCTGATTGGTGTTTCAGGCTTCTTAGGGTATATTCTTAAAGTGGGATCACTGGGTCAAATGGTAGTTCAATTTTTAATTTTTTGAGGTAACACCATATTGTTTTCCACAGTGGCTGCACCAGTCTGCATTCCCACCAGCAGTGTACTAGAGTCCCCTTTTCTCCACACCCTCGCCAACACTTGTTGTTTGATGATTTTTTGAATACTGCCATTCGGACAGGTGTGAGGTGATACCTCATTGTTATTTTAATTTACATCTCTCTGATGATTAGTGATGTTGGGCATTTCTTCATATGTCTCTTAGCCATTTGTATGTCCTGTTTGGAGAGGTGTCTATTTAGGTCCTCTGCCCATTTTTTAATTGGGTTCTTTGTCTTCCTTTTGTTGAGTTGTATGACCACTCTATATATTTAGGAAATGAAACCCTTATCTGATCCATCATTGACAATTATGCTCTCCCAAACAGTGGGTTGCCTTTCCATTTTGGTGGTTGTCTCTTTTGCTGTGCAGAAGCTTTTGAGTTTGATGTAGTCCCATGAGTTCATTTTCTTCCTTGTTTCTGTTGCCCTAGGAGATGTATCAGTGAAAACTGCTGCGCATAATGACTGAAATTTTGTTGCCTAAATTTTCTTCTAGGATTTTTATGGATTCATGAATCACATTTAAGTCTTTTATCCATTTTGAGTTTATTCTTGTGTATGGCATAAGTTGATGGTCTAGTTTCATTTTTTTCTTTTTTATGTAGCTGTCCAATTTTCCCAACACCATTTATTAAAGAGGTTGTCTTTCCTCCACTGTATGCTCTTCCCCCTTTGTCAAATATTAGTTGAGCATATTGTCTTGGGTCCATTTCTGGGTTCTCTATTTGTTTCCATTGATGTATCTGCCTGTTCTTGTGCCAGTACCAGGCTGTTTTGATTACAGTGGCTTTGGCCCTGGCCGGTTTGGCTCAGTGGTTGGAGCATTGGCCTACACACCAGAGAGTCCCGGGTTCAGTTCCCACTAGGGGCAAGTCTCAAAAAAAATAAATAAATAAGAGAGACACTTTATTA